CTTGAACACCCTTTTGAACAAAAGTGTTCAAATGTTGAACCCACACGAAAATTTCGGTGGGTGCTGCGGGCCAAAAGTTTTAATTGGACCTAATGAACATGTGTACCGAGTTTGATGCTTTTGTCACAAAGTGCAGCGTTTACCTCGATATTCAGTTGTACCGCCTACGCTAGTATACGAAATTTTATGGTCACTTGGCGTTCAACTTTGCAAGCAAGTAATTTTCAGAAAAACAAAGTTCAAGAGTTTCAGAGACTTAGGAAAGGAGAGATATGCAACAAACAACAATTTTAAAGCACAATTTAAAAAATCTCTAATTTCTTTCAAGGAAGAGACGTAAATTAGTTTGAAGGGAGGATTATCAGCTACGACAGTAAATAAATTTCAGCTTTTCTGGTGAAAAGCAACGTAAGTCGTTACATAATTAATAAATCCATCAAACAGGCCGAAATTTTACATTTTTCTTCGTCGGTCGCGGACATCAGTAAATCTGAATTAAATCCTCAGTTCTTAGCTCGATCTGTACTATGGTTTTGCTTCGTCATGAATCGATTCTGGCTTCCATGAATTTATCTCGAGCAATACTTTACTTGAAAGTACGACTATTATACCCTACCTTTGACAAATATTAGCCCTTTTCCTTTTTAGTAACAAACTTACAACCCCAGAGTATTTTAGGTTTTAGTTCACGTTTTGCTTCGACTTGCCTTTATTTTAAAAGACTGCAGTGAAACGCAAGATCGAGTTTTTTGTTTCACGTTTCAGGGAGATGTTTTCGTGATTTTCTCTTTATCGAGTCCCGTTTCCTTTTGTTATTATACGGATCAATTACGTGTACTTAATAAGATATGTCTTCTATTATCCTTTCGTTCTCTCGCGCAGTCCACCGCCAAAATATGTAGAACTGTAATTATTACGTCCTTTTTAGTAGACGGCGTGCTTCCAAAAACACTACACATTACCAAAACTAAATACCTCCACTGTAGAAATACTTTGAGAGCTCTTGTGTGAAATATCAATTAAGTCCCTTAGCGTTTCCACTTTTATGGG